CTTCAGACGGGCCTGGACATGCGCTGGCTTGAGCAGGGGGACCTTGCGTGCGCTGCAGGATTTTAATCCATGACGGCGTAGTGTGTTACTAATGGTTTTCTTTGAGACTGTGGTCCCAGCTCTCTTCAGGTCATTGACCAGGTCCTGCCGTGTAGTTCTGGGCTGATCCCTCACCTTCCTCATGATCATTGATGCCTCACGAGGTGAGAGCTTGCATGGAGCCCCAGACCGAGGGTGATTGACCGTCATCTTGAACTTCTTCCATTTTCTAATAATTGCGCCAACAGTTGTTGCCTTCTCACCAAGCTGCTTGCCTATTGTCCTGTAGCCCATCCCAGCCTAGTGCAGGTCTACAATTTTATCCCTGATGTCTTTACATAGCTCTCTGGTCTTGGCCATTGTGGAGAGGTTGGAGTCTGTTTGATTGAGTGTGTGGACAGGTATCTTTTATACAGGTAACGAGTTCAAACAGGTGCAGTTAATACAGGTAATGAGTGGAGAACAGGAGGGCTTCTTAAAGAAAAACTAACACGTCTGTGATAGCCGGAATTCTTACTGGTTGGTAGGTGATCAAATACTTATGTCATGCAATAAAATGCAAATGAATTACTTAAAAATCATACAATGTGATTTTCTGGATTTTTTTTTTTGATTCCGTCTCTCACAGTTGAAGTGTACCTATGATAAAAATTACAGACCTCTACATGCTTTGTAAGTAGGAAAACCTGCAAAATCGGCAGTGTATCAAATACTTGTTCTCCCCACTGTATGTATGTGTATGTATGTATGTATGTATGTATATATATATATATATATATATATAGATATATATATATTTGGGAGAAAAAAAACATATGGGGGATTGGAAGTGATGCAGACAATTACATTGATGGAAGTGAAAATCTATCTGCAATATTAAATATCTACCCCCTAAAAAATAAATAAAATAAGTACCTCTCATCGCTCACAGGTGCTCAATGTCCTTTCCAACCCCTCTGCTAAAAACTGTTCCTTGCTCACAGAAAAAAACAACTGCTGATCCAAATTCACTCCATTCATTAAAATCACAATTTAACCAACACCCATCTATTTTTGTGACTACCTGGACCTACTATTTGGTTTTGAAGCATTGAAACCAAAACATATGATTTGAATGAATATTATTTTAATAAACAACATGGAAAAGGTGACAGTAAGAAGCGCTCATCATTTCAAATAGGCTACATGTCGCTTCAGAGAATAACATTGACGTTTACATGGACACGGTGACTGAGTTCATCAGGAAGTGTATAGGGGATGTTGTTCCCACAGTGTCTATTAAAACCTACCCAAACCAGAAACCGTGGATAGATGGCAGCATTCGCGCAAAACTGAAAGCGCGAACCACCGCATTTAACCATGGCAAGGTGACTGGGAATATGGTTGAATACAAACAGTGCAGTTATTCCCTCCGTAAGGCAATCAAAAAGGCAAAACGTCAGTACAGAGACCAAGTGGAGTCGCAATTCAACGGCTCAGACGGCTGTGACAGAGTCTACAGACAATCATGGATTACAACGGGAAAACCAGCTACGTCGCGGACACCGACGTCTTGCTCCCAGACAAGCTAAACACCTTTGCACGTTTTGAGGATAACACAGTGCCACCGACTGTGTGCTCTCGTTCTCCGTGGCCGATGTGAGTAAGTCATTTAAGCGTGTTAATCCTCGCAAGGCTGCCGGTCCAGACGGCATCCCTAGCCGCGTCCTCAGAGCATGCGCAGACCAGCTGGCTGGAGTGTTTACGGACATATTCAATCTCTCCCTATCCCAGTCTGCTGTCCCCACTTGCTTCAAGATGTCCACCATTGTTCCTGTACCCAAGAAAGCAAAGGTAACTGAACTAAATGACTATCGCCCCGTAGCACTCACTTCTGTCATCATGAAGTGCTTTGAGAGGCTAGTTAAGGATCATATCACCTCCACCTTACCTGACACCCTAGACCCACTTCAATTTGCTTACCGCCCCAATAGATCCATAGACGATGCAATCGCCATCGCACTGCACACTGCCCTATCCCATCTGGACAAGAGGAATACCTACGTCAGAATGCTGTTCATTGACTATATCTCAGCCTTCAACACCATAGTTCCCTCCAAGCTCATCATTAAGCTCGGGGCCCTGGGTCTGAACCCCGCCCTGTGCAACTGGGTCCTGGACATCGAGACGGGCCACTCCTGGGTGATGAAGGTAGGAAACAACACCTCCACTGTGCTGATCCTCAACACAGGGGCCCCACAAGGGTGCGTGCTCAGCCTCTTCCTGTACTCCCTGTTCACCCATGACTGCGTGGCCACGCACACCTCCAACTCAATCATCAAGTTTGCAGACGACACAACTTTAGTAGGCCTGATTACCAACAATGACGAGACAGCCTACAGGGAGGAGGTGAGGGCCCAGGCGGAGTGGTGCCAGGAAAATAACCTCTCCTTCAATGTAAAAAAAATGAAGGACCTGATCGTGGACTAAGGGAAACAGCAGAGGGAGCACGCCCCTATCCACATCAACTGGACCGCAGTAGAGAAGGTGGAAAGCTTCCTCGGCGTACACATCACTTACGCCTCTTCAACCTCAGGAGGCTGAAGAAATTTGGCTTGGCCCCTAAGACCCTCACAAACTTTTACAGATGCACAATTGAGCACATCCTGTCGGGCTGTATCACTGCCTGGTACGGCAACTGCACCGCGCGCAACCGCAGGGCTCTCCAGAGGGTAAAACCAACGCATCACCGGGGACACACTGCCTACCCTCCAGGATTCCTACAGCACCCGATTTCATAGGAAGGCCAAAACGATAATCAAGGACAACAACCACCCGAGCCACGGCCTGTTCACCCCACTATCATCCAGAAGGCGAGGTCAGAAGGCGAGAGACTGAAAAACAGCTTCTATCTCAAGGCCATCAGACTATTAAATAGCCATCACTAGCCGGCTACCACCTGGCTACTCAACCCTGCATCTTAGAGGCTGCTGCCCTATATACATAGACATGGAATCGCAGGCCACTTTAATAATGGAATACTAGTCACTTTAATAATGTTTACATACTGCTTTACTCATCTCATATGTATATACTGTATTCTAGTCTACTGTATTTTAGTCAATGCCACGCCGACATTGCTCGTCCTAATATTTATATATTTATTTATTCCATTATTTTACTTTCAGATTTGTGTATTGTTGTGAATTGTTAGATACTACTGCTCTGTTAGAGCTAGGAACACAAGCCTTTCGCTATACCCACAATAACATCTTCTAAATATGTGTATGTGACCAATAACATTTGATTTGAGAATACCCTCTCCACACTGGCAGAGCCACTGGGGTTGCTAAACACCCTTCGGGCCACTCTTGCCAGGCTGGGCCAGGGATGGATAGTTGTTGTTTTTATTTTTCTATAGTTAGGCCTAAAGGTCTTTTGGCAAAATAACCCTATCAAAACGGAAAGCTCCTTGAAAGAGGTAATATGTCAGCAGGCCTATTGGGCCAAAATCAATTAAAAATATACGAAACTTTTAAGAGATCAGATTTTTTTGTTTCTGAATACTTTGCTACAATGACACACTTAGCTAGTAAGTACACCAACATGCTTTCGGCATGCGTGTCTTTTCAGATTCCACAATGATTCTTTAGTTGTGGACACTAAATCCCTGCACTCTCTTGCTCTTGGTCCTCATCTTTGTAAGTCACCTTGATTTTGCACCTGAGTGTTATCAGTTTCTTTATTAAAATATTTTGCGAACTCCAGGACAGTAGCTAAAGCAAGGGGCTATATCAGCACACAAGTAGCCTACAAATGCATGCTGGGCCGGGTATGCCCTGAGCTCGTGAAGAGAAGTGAGCGCTACTGGAGCGAAATTGGAGCGGGCGAGGGGGCTGGAGCTCCAGTCAAATTGGGCACCGCTCATACTCTACGCTGTACGGGTTTTGACTGACAGCTACTCTGAACATGAGCATCTCGCACGACAAGAAGTTGCCCTCATCCCTTCTACTAATTGGGCAACTTTTGCACATTTTGTATTTGAGTGAGGGAAATGCTGTAAATTGTATTTTGAGGATTATAATAAATATGGCTTTGATGCCATACAAGCAAGCCAAACACCTGTGAGTCCAAATGTGAGTCCAAATTGTGTGATTGCAGGGTATTCCAAAGAAAACAACTACAAGTGTGCTTGCTGTTCCTCAACGGCACAGCTAGGAGAGCTAAAAAAAGCACCTTATTGTTGAAGACTCTTCTTTGAGTCATAAAAGTTTCTTGAAATGACTTAGGAACTGTCCACATTTTGGAGAGCTGTGTGGCCACTTGGAAACACCAGTTAGTCCTCTCACTCAAACCCTTGTCATTTTTTTCTTATGTTGCACCTACCCCACATTTCCCAGGAATATTGTTATGTTACTGAACGTATCCAGAGTATTTGCAGTGAGTGGGGTCACGGCCAGGGTCCCTACCGATATTTGAAACAGCAACCTTTCGGTTACTGGCCCAACACTCTAACCTCGAGGCTACCTGCCACCCTGTTGTGTCTTGACCTTTTGGGCTAATAATTTTACCATCAACTCCAAACTGTTGTCTTTCAATCGCTACCATGGTTATGCATATGCTTGTCATATTTCTTCTGTAAGAAACATTAAAATTTAGCCCTATACATATAGGCCAATTCCCACCAGTGTAAAGAGCTAAGAGATTATTTAGGCATGACATTTCAAACTTGCAAAATGTAATGTCCTGGTTTGATATTTCCTGTTTGTTGACCGGTCAGTCTGCAACTCTGAGGTTCGTATCTTTGAGGTTTTACTGTATAAGCATTTGTTGGCAGTGGCTAGTTTAACAAAACCAAATGTATGGATTGCAGCCACTCCTTGTCCATAGACTGCTTTCAAGGTAAGGAAACAAACATATCTTAATATTTAAAATCGCTGAACTATCCCTTTTAATGTATTGTTTTGTGTGTTTGTGGTTAGGCAGAAGGAACAGATGATGAAGAAGAATGGAGGGAAACCGGTTTACGAGAGAAACTTGTTTCACGGCACAGATGAGTCTATCATAGATGCCATCTGTGAACAGAACTTTGACTGGAGGACCTGCGGTGTCAATGGAACACCTTATGGTCAAGGTAAATCTCTCTATTGCTATATCAATAGTCACACAAAAGCAAATGTTTCTGCTAGACCTTTGAAATGTCTCTAACGCGCTGTCATTGTTATTTTCCAGGGAGCTACTTTGCTAGAGATGCCTCATTCTCCAACAACTACATCAAGTCTCAGAGCAGGAGCCAGAAGATCATGTTTGTGGCTCTGGTCTTGGTTGGAGAGTTCACCAAGGGACATGACAATTACCGTCGTCCCCCTCAGAAAGGCACCAGCATGGTCCTCTACGACAGCTGTGTCGACTCACAACACAACCCATCCATTTTTGTTGTGTTTGAGAAACATCAGATTTATCCTGAATTCCTAATTGAGTACTCCTAAAATCCACAGGGGTCCATACCAATGTCTTGCACTGAAGACAACAGATATTTTGTGACTTGCTAACAGTCTTCTCACATGCTCTACCTACTGTATTTCTGTGATTTATTGAATTGGGGCTAGTGATTTATTGAATTGGGTTTAGGTTTAGGGCTATCTTTTTTGTTAGTATTTTGGGCTCGTTTTAATCCACATTCACCGAAGTTCAGCGCTATAGCACGATTTGAAATTTAAAGGCAATGTTCCCGGGCTCACTGAGACTGCATTCACGGTAAATGCTGCATATGCCGGCTCAATTGGAAATTACCTTTACATTGAAGTTGCGCTGAACTTCGGCGATATGGATTGAATTGAGCCCTAAGATGTTTTATTTTCCTTTTCAATATGTAATGAATAACATAACACATGGCACAACAGTTGCAGAGGATTGAGCTCTTTTTATATATTTCATTTTCTAAAGAGTGTGGCAGTCCCACTCCTTACATATTTTATTGTTGATAGAACAACGGCGAGAACACAGGAAATGGAGAGAGATGTGAGTCAGAAGGGCACTGGGTCAGATTTGAACACATGCCAACTCCGTACATGTGTGCCAGGGTCTTTGGCCCTGTAACCGCTAGAACACGGGTAGGTTTTTTAATCTAATGGTCATTGGTTCTTCTATATTAATGTACACATGGAAATTCTTATGTCAGAGACATCATTGTAATATCTTATGATGTGTTTTCTCTCTTAGGTAGGTGATAGCTAAAACGTATTCCTTGAGGTGGATATGAAATAACTGTACAGTGTCAAACTTAAACATTCCTAGTAATGTGAAATATCAATTTCTTAAGCTGAGTACTGAATACCGATCTTGTTAAAGTTGTGAAAAATCCTGTCATGCACTTTTCTTATTTACACTATCAACTTGATATTTATCTTTACAACATTATAAATTGTTACACTGCAATAAAATGGCTCTTCACTCAGTTTGTCTTCCTCATTGACAAGAAACATATCCAATATTCAAGAAATCAGACCCTAAATAGATAAAACATGAACTATTAAATGTTACACAGAAATTCTGAATGATTGTGGAGAGATTTGTCCCATTTCAGCATTTATTCCACCTTTGCATTTACTCTTTCATAGCATGTCATCATTATTCCTGTCAATTAAAATGGAATATTTCAGAAATTATATTGATAACATCTTTCCCTGATTTTGATTTCACATTTAATGAATATGTAACATCAAATTCCAGAGCAACACTCCAATCCAACACAATTAACACCATCCCATGGGTATAAAGCACATACAGTCAAGCTTTAATAAAAATCACACACAGTAACATCAGAGCTTTTCAACTTAAGAGGCAATGAGAAATGGAAGTGAGCTGATATTGCGTTCCTCTCTCCTCGAGTCGTGATCCTATGAATATTACCTTCATGTAAATCATAGCTGCATTTTTAAAGATGAAAGATTGGGAAATCTGTGTGAGGGGGGAAAAAAAAGAGAAGTCCTATAACATTTAGTCAATGCCTACACTGTTATGATTGATTGGATGGATAATTGCAAGGATGCTTGCAAAGACTCGCTTTCCAGCCATAGAGCTGTTGGGAGCCTATACAAATCCTTACAGGGATAGTCCATCCAAATGACAAAAACATTTGGATGACTTTACCCTGTAAGAAGTCCATGGACAAGGATATTTCATAGCATTTGGAGACAGAGGACTGGTAAACCAAACTGAAGCATGGATCGCTCTCTTACCTTATCCATAGACTGCTTACAGGAAAACCAATATTATATCATTTTGTAATTTGGGTGAACTATCCCTTTAATAGTTCATGGGCATGTTCTAACATACTTTGAATTGATCCTTCCCTTTAATGCAGTCCTGCGGTGACTATTCAGTAACAATGGATATCAATATTAATTTATACAGAGGTCAAGGTATGTTGTCCTATTGTAATAAGAACAGCATTTTGCCACAGTCTTCCCCTCCCCCCAGCTCACAGTTCCCCCAGCATGCTTCTCCCCCTCCCTCTCTTTAGTCCTGCAGAATCACTGTGGTGATCAATGTGCCATTGGCAGGGGCCTCTTGGAGGGTTTGACCTCCGTCCAGCACACTGGCTGATTAAAAAGGTGAGCCGCCCCTGGCCCAACCTCACTTTTTCTGTGCAAATTGTCATTTACCAATGGAGCAGTGGTGTAAAAATACTTTGAAGTACTACTTAAGTAGTTTTTTAGGGTATCTGTACTTTACTGTTTATATTTTTGACAACTTTTACTTTTAATAAATGTACTTTTCACTCCACACATTTTCCCTGACACCCAAATGTACTCGTTCCAATTTGAATGCTTAGCAGAACAGGAAAATGGTGCAATTCACGCACTTATCAAGGGAACATCCCTGGTAATCCCTACTGCCTCTGATCTGGCGGACTCACTAAACACACATGCTTCATTTGTAAATGATGTCTGAGTGTTGGAGTGTGCCCCTGGCTATCCATAAAAAAATATAAATAATAATAAAACATTAAAATGGTCCCGTCTGGTTTGCTTAATATAAGGAATTTTAAATTATTTATAATTTTACTTTTGATACTTACAGAGAGGGAAAAAAGTATTTGATCCCCTGCTGATTTTGTACGTTTGCCCAATGACAAAGAAATGATCAGTCTATAATTTTAATGATAGGTTTATTTGAACAATGAGAAACAGAATAACAACAAAGAAATCCAGAAAAATGTATGTAAAAAACGTTATAAATTGATTTGCATTGTAATGAGGGAAATAAGTATTTGACCCCCTCTCAATCAGAAAGATTTCTGGCTCCCAGGTGCCTTTTATACAGGTAACGAGCTGAGATTAGGAGCACAATCTTAAAGGGAGTTCTCCTAATCTCAGTTTGTTACCTGTATAAAAGACACCTGTCCACAGAAGCAATCAATCAATCAGATTCCAAACTCTCCACCATGGCCAAGACCAAAGAGCTCTCCAAGGATGTCAGGGACAAGATTGTAGACCTACACAAGGCTGGAATGGGCTACAAGACCATCGCCAAGCAGCTTGGTGAAAAGGTGACAACAGTTGGTGCGATTATTCGCAAATGGAAGAAACACAAAAGACCTGTCAATCTCCCTCGGCCTGGGGCTCCATGCAAGATCTCACCTCGTGGAGTTGCAATGATCATGAGAACGGTGAGGAATTAGTCCAGAACTAGGACCTTGTCAATGATCTCAAGGCAGCTGGGACCATAGTCACACAAGAAAACAATTGGTAACACACTACGCCGTGAAGGACTGAAATCCTGCAGCGCCCGCAAGGTCCCCCTGCTCAAGAAAGCACATATACAAGTTTGCCAATGAACATCTGAATGATTCAGAGGAGAACTGGGTGAAAGTGTTGTGGTCAGATGAGACCAAAATGGAGCTCTTTGGAATCAACTCAACTCGCCGTGTTTGGAGGAGGAGGAATGCTGCCTATGACCCCAAGAACACGTGGTCCTCTGTAGCTCAGCTGGTAGAGCACGGCGCTTGTAACGCCAGGGTAGTGGGTTCGATCCCCGGGACCACCCATACGTAAAAATGTATGCACACATGACTATAAGTCGCTTTGGATAAAAGCGTCTGCTAAATGGCATATTATTATTTATATTATAACACCATCCCCACCGTCAAACATGGAGGTGGAAACATTATGCTTTGGGGGTGTTTTTCTGCTAAGGGGACAGGACAACTTCACTGCATCAAAGGGACGATGGACAGGGCCATGTACCGTCAAATCTTGGGTGAGAACCTCCTTCCCTCAGCTAGGGCATTGAAAATGGGTCGTGGATGGGTATTCCAGCATGACAATGACCGAAAACACATGGCCAAGGCAACAAAGGAGTGGCTCAAGAAGAAGCACATTAAGGTCCTGGAGTGGCCTAGCCAGTCTCCAGACCTTAATCCCATAGAAAATCTGTGGAGAGAGCTGAAGGTTCGAGTTGCCAAACGTCAGCCTCGAAACCTTAATGACTTGGAGAAGATCTGCAAAGAGGAGTGGGACAAAATCCCTCCTGAGATGTGTGCAAACCTGGTGGCCAACTACAAGAAACGTCTGACCTCTGTGATTGCCAACAAGGGTTTTGCCACCAAGTACTAAGTCATGTTTTGCAGAGGGGTCAAATATTTATTTCCCTCATTAAAATGCAAATCAATTTATAAAAAATTTTGACATGCGTTTTTCTGGATTTTTTTGTTGTTATTCTGTCTCTCACTGTTCAAATAAACCTACCATTAAAATTATAGACTGATCATTTCTTTGTCAGTGGGAAAACGTACAAAATCAGCTGGGGATCAAATACTTTTTTCCCTCACTGTAAGTATATTTAAAACCATATACTTGTAGACTTTTACTCAAGTAGTATTTTACTGGGTGACTTTCACTTGAGTCATTTTCTATTAAGGTATCTTTTCTTTTACTCAAGTATGACAATTGTGTACTTTTTCCACCACTGCATGGGAGCATAGTAATGCTACTGCTCCTCTGCTCACATTCAGTCCGGATCCTCAGCCCAGTCCATAGTTGATGAAGGAACAGCGACAGAGGATAGGCACTTGAATTTAGATTGTTAAGTTAAAGAAGAGGTTAATGCTAGCCTGGTCTCAAATCTGTTTGTGCTGTATTGCCAACTCTTACATAAAGTGAAAGCGCCAAACGTGTGAGAATAACCATAGAAGTTAGCAAGACAGCACAAACAGATCTGGGACCAGGCTAGGTTAATGCTACTTTATGTTTAGCCTTAAAATTAGCAGTCGTTGGATGGATAATATATCAGTTTCATAGAAATCACACTACAGTCTGGAGAGCAGACAGAGAACAGAGCTTCTATTCTTCCTCTGCAGGGGGAGTCGCCGGTTCTCCCTCTATCTCTCTATTAGTGATTGTCACATAGATGCCATTCTTGGGTCCGAGAGTGGTGTGAGACTTCAACATCAGAGGAACCTGCATCATACATGTAGACGAGCAACGTGTTAAATAGCTAGGGTACAGCATAGACTGGGTTATATACATGTGACTCTGTATTTTCAATCTTATCATGACCTTTACAAATGTAGGTTGGGATAAGTGCCAAAAGAAGAAATATGGGCCCGTATTCATAAAGCGTATCAGTATGAATGGTGATCTAGGATCAGTTTAGCTTTTTAGATCGTAGTGAATATGCTTATATGGACAGGGGTGTTCTGATTCTAGATCAGCACTCCTACTCTAAGACGCTTTAGAGAATAGGGACTCAGAGGTTTAACCCACCTTGGTGTCTGTGCAGGCCACAATGTTGAACTTCCTGAAGATGTGCACCAGGGCCATCTTGATCTCCAGCTGGGCCAGCCTCATGCCCACACAGCTGCGGGGCCCCGCCCCAAACGGCAGGTACACAAACGGGTGTCTGCTGGCCTTGGCCTCCACTGTGAATCTGTATGGGCGAGTAAGAGGCCTCAGTGGTCAGTATGGAATGTCGGGAGAGGTTGTGTTTTCTCTAGCAGGAGGTAAGCTTGGCTTCTTATATGGTGTTGAGTAAAGCTTAAACCATGTATTTAGATTGTAGGTAGGTATTGTAGTTAGGTAGTATAGGTAGTTTACTTAGGTAGTTATTGTAGGTTATTGTAGGTTATTGTAGGTAATTATTGTAGGTAAGTATTGTATTCGGCGGACCCCGGCGAAGCACGAGGCTAGCTTACCCACTACTTGGACCAACAAAGCTAGCTAGCTAGCTAGCGGGTAGCTACTGGTAACTTTTAGCAACTGTGGTTAGTTGTTTCCAATGTTATTTCACGCTTAAGAGTACCTGTGATTGAGCCAGCTAGCTGCCTACCATTCAGCTGTTTTTCTAACCTCATTATCCGAGGCATTAACGTTAGGTGGTTGGTAGCTGCTGTACTTAATTACAGCTACTGATTGCAGTCTGCCACCCAGACAGCTGGCGTTGGGTAAGTTTGGCTTTATACATAGCTTGGGCTTTGTCGAGTAAGGCTTAAACTATGTATTTAGATTGTAGTTAGGTATTATAGGTAGGCATCGTGGGCTGTATATTATTAGGTAGTATAGGTAGGCATCGTGGGCTGTTGTGGGTAGTTGTTGTATGTAGTTATTGTAGGTTACTTTTGTATTCGGCGGTGCCGGGTGTAGCACGAAGCCAGCTAGCTAACTCACCTCCTGGATTAGCTGGCGAGTAGCTATTAGCAACGGTAGCAACTAAAAACAATATCCTTTTAGCCAGCTACATTCGTTCGCAGCGACGCCGTTTTTCAAACAAAGTCAACACAGCAGCCATTGCTAGCTAGCCAACACTACCAGCTAGCTGTACTGTAGTAGCTAAATACAATATCTTTGTGCTAGCTAGCCAACGTTTAATTATTGCTGCGTTATGAAAGAACTAGACACGGACACGAATTATCTGTTTAGTGTGTTCACACACTATTGGTAGTTTGTTGTAACCAAGTATTGGTGCTAAACTGTGTGTTATTGGATGCTAGCATGCTAGTTAGCTATGGCGTCATAGTTAGCTAGCTGAATAAAGTAAGTTGAGTCTATTCATTGAAACATTGAACCGCTGTAGTTTACAACAATTCACATTTCTAAAGTGGAAGTTGGGAGAGTTTTTTATTCGGGTGGTTCAGTGAAACAATTATAGTTTCTGAGGTGGAAGTTGGGAGAGTTATATTTTTTTGGTGAGGGAGGCCCTGCTCTCTCCTTTCCCAGATGTTTAGTTCATTTCATCCCGATCTCCTCTGCATTATTGTAGCCATCTGCTACAGCCTGTCAACTATGCCTCTGCCTATCCCTGTTCTCACCTCTCCGCACAGGCTACACAAACGCCTCACACCGCGTGGCTGCTGCCTCTCTAACCTGGTGGTCCCTGCACGCACCACACACCTGGAGTTCCAGGTCTCAGGCAGCCTCTGGAACTGCCGTTCTGCCGCCAACAAGGCTGACTTCATCCCAGCCTATGCTACCCTCCAGTCCCTCGACTTCCTGGCGCTGACGGAAACATGGATTACCACTGAAAACACTGCTACTCCTACTGCTCTCTCCTCGTCTGACCATGTGTTCTCGCATACCCCGAGAGCATCTGGTCAGAGGGGTGGTGGCACAGGAATCCTCATCTCTCCCAAGTGGTGATTCTCAATTTTTCCCCTAACCCATCTGTCTATCTCCTCATTTGAATTCCACGCTGTCACAGTCACTAGCCCATTTAAGCTTAATATCCTTGTCATCTATCGCCCTCCAGGTTCCCTTGGAGAGTTCATCAATGAGCTTGACGCCTTGATAAGTTCCTTTCCTGAGGATGGCTCACCCTTCACAGTTTTGGGGGATTTCAACCTCCCTACGTCTACATTTGACTCATTTCTCTCTGCCTCCTTCTTTCCACTCCTCTCCTCTTTTGACCTCACCCTCTCACCGTCCCCCCCTACTCACAAGGCAGGCAATACACATCTTTACTAGATGTTGCTCTTCTACTAATCTCACTGCAACTCCCCTCCATGTCTCCGACCACTACTTTGTATCCTTTTCTCTCTCGCTCTCCTCCAACACTACTCACTCTGCCCCTACACAGATGGTAACGCGCCGCCGCAACCTTCGCTCTCTCTCTCCCACTACTCTCTCCTCTTCCATCCTATCATCTCTTCCCTCTGCTCAATCCTTCTCCCTCCAATCTCCTGATTCTGCCTCCTCAACCCTCCTCTCCTCCCTTTCTGCATCCTTTGACCCCTGTTCCCTTCCCCCCCCCCGGCCGGTCCTCCCCTCCCGTCCGGCTTTGGGGGGGGCCCGGGGGCCCACAGGAAAAGGGGGGGGGAAAGGGAAAAAAATCCCTCCCCCATTTTTTCCTTCCTCTTACTTTTTTTCATTTTCCCAAGCCCCTTTAAACCCTTAAATTCCCCCCTTTCCCCCCCCTGGAATCTTTCCCCCCCCCCCCTCCCCCCCCAAAAAAAAAAAAAAAAAAAAAAAAATAAAAAAAAAAAAAAAAAAAACCCCAAAAAAAAAAAAAAAAAAAAAAAAAAAACCCCCCCCAAAAAAAAAAAAAAAAAAAAAAAAAAAAAAAAAAAAAAAAAAAAAAAACCCCCCCCAAAAAAAACAAAAAAAAAAAAAAAAAAAAAAAAAAAAAAAAAAAAACCCCCAAAAAAAAAAAAAAAAAAACCCCCCCCCAAACCCCCCCCCCCCCCCCCCCCCCCCCCCCCCCCCCCCCCCCCCCCCCCCCCCCCCCCCCCCTGTGGATGACTTCGTCAACCACTTTGAAAAGAAGGTTGACGACATCCGATCCTCGTTTGTTAAGTCTAATGTCACTGCTGGTCCTGCTCACACTGCCCTACCCTATGCTTTGACTTCTTTCTCCCCTCTCTCTCCAGATAGAATCTTGCGACTAGTGACTGCAGGCCGCCCAACAACCTACCCGCTTGACCCCATCCCCTCCTCTCTTCTCCAGACCATCTCCGGTGACCTTCTCCCCTACCTCACCTCGCTGATCAACTCATCCTTGACCGCTGGCTATGTCCCTTCCGTCTTCAAGAGAGCGAGAGTTGCACCCCTTCTCAAAAAACCAACACTCGATCCCACTGATGTCAACAACTACAGACCAGTATCCCTTCTTTCTTTTCTTTCCAAAACTATTGAGCGTGCCGTCTTTAGCCAACTCTCTTGCTATCTCTCTCAGAATGACCTTCTTGATCCAAACCAGTCAGGTTTCAGGACTGGTCATTCAACTGAGACTGCTCTTCTCTGTGTCACGGAGGCTCTCCGCACTGCTAAAGCTAACTCTCTCTCCTCTGCTCTTGTCCTTCTACACCTGTCTGCTGCCTTTGATACTGTGAACCATCAGATCCTCCTCTCCACCCTCTCCGAGCTGGGCATCTCCGGCGCGGCTCACTCCTGGATTGCGTCCTACCTGACCGGTCGCTCCTACCAAGTGGCGTGGCGAGAAGCTGTCTCCGCACCACGTGCTCTCACCACTGGTGTCCCCCAGGGCTCAGTTCTAGGCCCTCTCCTTTTCTCCCTATACACCAAGTCACTTGGCTCTGTCATATCCTCACATGGCCTCTCCTATCATTGCTACGCTGACGATACACAACTAATCTTCTCCTTTCCCCCTTCTGATAACCAGGTGGCGAATCGCATCTCTGCATGTCTGGCCGACATATCAGTATGGATGACGGATCACCACCTCAAGCTGAACCCTGGCAAGACGGAGCTGCTCTTCCTCCCGGGGAAGGACTGCCCGTTCCATGATCTCGCCATCACGGTTGACAACTCCGTTGTGTCCTCCTCCCAGAGTGCGAAGAGCCTTGGCGTGACCCTGGACAACACCCTGTCGTTCTCCGCTAACATCAAGGCGGTGACCCGATCCTGCAGGTTCATGCTCTACAACATTCGGAGAGTACGACCCTGCCTTACACAGGAAGCGGCACAGGTCCTAATCCAGGCACTTGTCATCTCCCGTCTGGATTACTGCAACTCGCTGTTGGCTGGGCTCCCTGCCTGTGCCATTAAACCCCTACAACTCATCCAGAATGCCGCAACCCGTCTGGTGTTCAACCTTCCCAAGTTCTCTCACGTCACCCCCCCTCCTCCGCACACTCCACTGGCTTCCAGTTGAAGCTCGCATCCGTTACAAGACCATGGTCCTTGCCTATGGAGCAGTGAGGGGAACGGCACCTCCGTACCTTCAGGCTCTGATCAGTCCCTACACCCAAACGAGGGCATTGCGTTCATCCACCTCTGGCCTGCTGGCTCCCCTTCCTCTGCGGAAGCATAGTTCCCGCTCAGCCCAGTCAAAACTGTTCGCTGCTCTGGCACCCCAATGGTGGAACAAGCTCCCTCACGACGCCAGGACAGCGGAGTCACTCACCACCTTCCGGAGACATTTGAAACCCCACCTCTTTAAGGAATACCTGGGATAGGATAAAGTAATCTTTCTACCCCCCCCCCCCCCCCCCCCCCAAAAAAAAAAAAATATTTAAAAAAAAAAGAATTAAAAAAAAATATATATATTGTAAAGTGGTTAACCCACTGGCTATAGGGTGAATGCACCAATTTGTAAGTCGCTCTGGATAAGAGCGTCTGCTAAATGACGTAAATGTAAATGTAAATACACTCTGATACTGTACTAGTACACTTGAATGTGCCTTCTGTGTTGTATTATCACGTGTCCATGTTGTACAGAACATCCACAGTAGGACATAATGTGAGGCAGTGACTGAGTGTACTGTAGCTGTGCTGAGACTTCTCTATAGTAGACCCATAGAAATGGAACATGATTACTGAGCTACAGTTGACTGACTGCCGCCTACCTCTCAGGGATGAACTTCTCTGGCTCAGGCCAGTACTCTGGATCATAGTGCAGATAGCCTGCAGGGATCTCCAGGGTGGCTCCCTTGGGTAGAAACTGTCCATTCACCATGCAGTCCTCGTCAACGTCACGGGCAAACCTGAAACAAAATGGTTGCTCAGTTTTCACAATGCGCATAATGAAATGGTGAACTATGGAACATGGGGGACATGGCCATTTACAGTACATAAGAGAGTTGTCTTGTGTATCTTGTGAATCGTTCTTATAATATCAATACTATTAATACTATCATACTATATGGGAAAAAGACTTGAGGCTCTTACCTGAAACCAGGGGGGTAGAGGCGCAGAGCCTCTGATATGACCATGTCAAGATATTTCAGCTCCTGGACATTGGTGTAATCTGGTGAATCCTACAACAGAGAAAATAACACAAATCATGCATTTAACATCGCATTTCATTTGGTACCAAAAATTCCTATACTATCAAGTCAATAATGAAAGCACATTTTACACAAAAAAAGTCAAGTAAGAAAAGGAGAAAAGTGCAATTCATACCGATGCCAGCAGAGAGCAGCAAAACATGTTATTCAAAACTATGTTATGGCTATGAGGTTATTTGGAGAGCATGGCTGAGAATGTAAGAGTTTAGTGTTTGTTACTGCACCAAACAAACCACAAAGATGAACTACATCATAGATTAAATAAAACTACAGCATGAATGTATGGATGATGAGAGTGACTGAGTCGACATTAACACTGTTAAACAATGACTACAGTGGAGCCAGTGTAGTGCAGCTGAACAAACACCCCGCTGTCCCTAAAACACTGCTGTTGTGCTCAGATGTGTGTGTGTGCGTGCGTGTACATATGTGCCCGTGTGTGTGTGGTTCGGTGGTTAGAGGGCCAGTCACTGCCATGCGTGAAGAGTGTGTGTGTCTGGGGACAATTCCAGAGCCTGTAAAGATGGGGCTCCATTGTTTGGCCTTGCTGTCACTTCTCATTGGGCGCCACACAGTTCCCCAGGGGAATGACATGTCCCTAATGAGCACTAAGAGCTAACACCACTCTCTGCTCCACTGATAAAGCCTAACCGCCGCTAGCTGCCAGACCTGTTGTATAAGATGTGCTTTTTACCACAAGAGAACGAGAGAAAAAGAGAGAGAGAGGAGAGAGAGAGAGAGAGAGAGAGAGAGAGAGAGAGAGAGAGAGAGAGAGAGAGAGAGAGAGAGAGGAGAGAGAGAGAGAGAGAGAGAGAGAGAGAGAGAGAGAGTGAGTGAGAAAGAGAGGGAAGGAGTGAGTGAGAGTGAGAAAGAGACCCTCCGTACAGAGAGCCAGAGTGGGTGACAACTTCAATGTGTCTGTAGCCTAGTACCACAACACTGTGCTCTCTGAGTCTCTCTCAAACAGACCTAGCTCCAAACCACTCTCCGCAAGAATGTGGATGAAATATGTATCATGCAGCGACAGTGTTCTTTCCGCCTGTAGTGCCGGTGTACCTAATGATTATTCATGCTTGGTTTACTGCCAGGCCAGGGGAGAGGGAGCGTCTGTGGAGTTGAGTTAGTTGGAGCATTTGTATTCCGACGCCATGATTTCCTAATTATGCAGATTCAATGACAATCACTTATCCGAATCCTGTGGGGCAGTTTAACAAAGCTGATTCAACAAGTTAATCGGGAACACATTGGCCCCAGTGTGTGCGTGTGTCCGTATAGGTGTGTTTGTCTATCCGTCTGTGTGTTGTGTGTGTCTGTCCGTCCGTGTGTGTGTGTGTGTGCGTGTGCATCAAACACCCTGGTTCTGCACCACGGGGCGTGACAGGGCACAATGTTGGTAGGTGCATCAGATATCAGTGTTTAGCATGTCTCAGCTCTTTAGCCATCAAATTAAGCCCATTGTTCATTCCAACAGCACACAGAGACCTAGAGAAAACATACTCCCTTTCAGTGAGATATGGCAGAGCAACATCTTCATCAAGGTGAGGAAATGTACACTGTAGAAAAACGTTTTGCAACAGAAAATGAAAAAGCGTTTCTTATTGGTCAATTTCATGTTGTCCCTCCCTGTATTCTTCCATTTGCTACCTAATGAATATGGGGTATAAGACACAGGAAAGCTGCTGATGAGCAGTGTTCTATAACAGAGGGATAGCGTTGACTTACCTGACCAACCTGACAGCGATCACAGAGTTTGAAATTTCCCCCTCCCAGTCACAGCGTGAGGCCGGACAGGAATAACCCAGGGCGCTAGAGCGGCTAATGGATGGAGGAACTGGGTGGAGAGGAGCCCGCTCTGTCTGTCGCCTCTCCTGGGGGCCACTAGAGGACACAGAGGGCCTGGTGTGTGTGGTGAGGCTCCCCCACCTTTAGATATCCTCCTAAGACCCCCTTAAGCACCTGAGTTGGTTTGATGTCTGCTTGGCTGCATCTGCATGTGGTACAAGTGAGGTGGTGTCATCATAAGACTACGTCGGCGAGCATCTAGACCGCCATTGCCCTCTGTTTAGTGGGCGAACGTACAATCACTAGAGAACAAACTGGCGAGCTCCGTTCGAGACTATCCTGTCAACGGGACCTAAAGAACTGTAATATTCTATGTTTCTCAGAGTCGTAGCTGAACAAGGACATGGATAATATACAGCTCGCTGGCTTTTCCATGCATCGTCAAGATCGGAAGGCAGCCTCGGGTAAGATGGGAGGGGTGTGTCTCTGTTAACAACAGCTGGTGCGTGATCTCTAATGTTAAGGAAGTCTCAAGTTTTTGCTCGCATGAGTTAGAATACCTCATGATAAGCTGCAGACCATACTAGCTGTCTATTTACCACCACAAACCGATGCTGGCACTAAGACAACACTCAACGAGCTGCATAGGGCCATAAGCCAACAAGAAAATACTCATCCAGAAACAGCACTTCTCGTGGACTGTGATTTTATTGCAGGGAAACTGAAACTAATTTTTAACAGCATGTCAGCTGTGCAACTAGAGACAAAACTGTAGATCACCTTTACTCAACACACAGAAACACTTACAAGGCTCTCCTTCGCCCTCCCTTTGGCAAATCTGACCATAACTCTATCAATCAAATTTCAATCAGATTTGATTTATAAAGCCCTTTTTACATCAGTCGATGTCACAAAATGCTATACAGAAACCCAGCCTAAAACCCCAAACAGCAAGCAATGCAGATGGAGAAGCACGGTGGCTAGGAAAAACTCCCTAGAAAGGCAGAAACCTAGGAAGAAACCTAGAGAGGATCCAGGCTCTGAGGGGTGGCCAGTCCCCTTCTGGCTATGCCGGGTGGAGATTATAACAGTACATGGACATTAAGGCCAGATTTTTCTCCAAGATGTCCAAAGGTTCATAGATGACCAGCATGGTCAAATAATAATCACAGTGGTTGTAGAGGTTGCAACAGGTCAGTACATCAGGAGTAAATGTCACTTGGCTTTCATAGCCGGGCATTTAGAGGTTGAAATAGCAGGTGCGGTACAGAGAGAGAGTTGAAAACAGCAGGTCTGGGACAAGGTAGCACGTCCGGTGAACAGGGCAGTGTTCCATAGCCGCAGGCAGAAGAGTGGAAACTGGAGCAGCAGCACGACCAGGTGGACTGGGGACAGCAAGGAGTCATCAGGCCAGGTAGTCCTGAGGCATGGTCCTAGGGCTCAGGTCCTCCGGGATGGGAGGGAGTGAGAGAGAGAGAATTAGAGGGAGCATACTTAAATTCACACGGACACCGGATTAGACAGGAGAATAACACCAGATATAACAGACTGACCCTAGCCCTATTGCAGCATAGATACTGGAGGCTGAGACGGTGGGGGGGGGGGACAATAAGGAGGCCTGCGTCTTGTGACCGTAGAGTACGTGTAGGTATGTATGGCAGGACCAAATCGAAGAGATAGGTAGGCGCAAGCCCATGTAATGCTTGTAGGTTAGCAGTAAAACCTTGAAATCAGCCCTAGCCTTAACAGGAAGCCAGTGTAGAGAGGCTAGCACTGGAGTAATTATCAATTATTTTGGTTCTAGTCAAGATTCTAGCAGCCGTGTTTAGCACTAACTGAAGTTTATTTAGTGCTTTATCCGGGTAGCCAGAGTAGAGCATTGCAGTAGTCTAATCTAGAAGTGACCAAAGCATGGATTAGCTGTTCTGCATCATTTTTGGACAAAGAGTTTCTGATTTCTGCAATGTTACGAAGATGGAAAAAAGCTGTCCTTGAAAAATTCTTGATATATTCGTCAAAAGAGAGATCAGGGTCCAGAGTAACGCAGAGGTCCTTCAGTTTTTTTTTAGACGACTGTACAACCATCAAGATGAATTGTCAGATCCAACAGAAGATCTTTGTTTTTTGGGACCTAGAACTAGCATCTCTATTTTGTCCAAGTTTAAAAGTAAAACATTTGCCGACATCAACTTCCTTATGTCTGAAACACATGCTTCCAGGGTAGGCAATTTTGGGTCTTCACCATGGTTCATTGAAATATAGAGCTGTGTGTCGTCCGCATAGCAATGAAAGTTAACATTGTGTTACTGAATGACATCACCAAGAGGTAAAATATATAGTGAAAACAATAGTGGTCCTAAAACGGAACCTCGAGGAACACCGAAACGTACAATTGATTTGTCAGAGGACAAACCATCCACAGAGACAAACTGATATCTTTCCGACAGATAAGATCTAAACCAGGCAAGAACTTGTTCGTGTAGACCAATTAAGGTTTCCAATCTCTCCAAAATAATAATGTGATCGATGGTGTCAAAAGCAGCACTAAGGTCTAGGAGCACGAGGACAGATGCAGAGCCTTGGTCTGACGCTATTAAAAGGTAATTTACCACCTTCACGAGTGCGGTCTCAGTGCTATGATGGGGTCTAAAACCAGACTGAAGCGTTTCGTATACAGTTTTTGTCTTCAGGAAGGCAGTGAGTTGCTGCACAACAGCTTTTTCTAAACATTTTGAGAGGAATGGGAGATTCGATATAGGCCGATAGTTTTTTATATTTTCTGGGTCAAGGTTTGGCTTTCTCAAGAGAGGCTTTATTACTGCCACTTTTAGTGAGTTTGGTACACATCCAGTGGATTGGGAGCCATTTATTATGTTCAACATAGGAGGGCCAAGCACAGGAAGTAGCTTCTTTCAGTAGTTTAGTTGGAATAGGGTCCAGTATGCAGCTTGAAGGTTTAGAGGCCATGACTATTTTCATGAATGTGAGATATGTCAAGAGATATAGAATAAAAAACCTTGAGTCTCTCCATTGATCCTAGGTCCTGGCAGTTTTGTGCAGACTCAGGACAGCTGAGCTTTGGAGAAATACGCAGATTCAAAGAGGAGTCCGTAATTTGCTTTCTAATGATCATGATCTTTTCGTCGAAGTAGTTCATGAATTCATCACTGCTGAAGTGAAAGGTATCCTCTCTTGGGGAATGCTGCTTTTTAGTTAGCTTTGCGGCAGTATCAAATATACATTTTGGATTGTTCTTATTCTCCTCAATTAGGTTGGAAAAATAGGATGATCGAGCAGCAGTGAGGGATCTTCGATATTGCTCTGTACTTTCTTTCCAAGCTAGTAGGAAGACTTCCAGTTTGGTGGAGCGCCATTTCCGTTCCAATTTTCTGGAGGCTTGCTTCAGTGCCCGGGTATTTTCTGTATACCAGGGAGCTAGTTTCTTGTGACAAATGTTTTTTTGTTTTTAGGGGTGTGACTGCATCTAGGGTATTACGCAAGGTTAAATGTAGATCCTCAGTTAGGTCGTTAACTGATTTTTGTACTCCGACGTCCTTGAGTAGGTGGAGGGAGTCTGGAAGGGCCTCTAGGAATCTTTGGGTTGTCCGAGAATTTATAGCACGGCTTTTGATAGTCCTTGGTTGGGGTCTGAGCAGATTATTTGTTGCGATTGCAAACGTAATAAGATGGTAGTCCAATAGTCCAGGGTTATAAGGAAAAACATTTAGATCCACAATATTTATTCCACGGTACAAAACTAGATCCAGGGTATGACTGTG